GCGCCGCCGCCCACGGGTAGGTGCCGCGTCCCTCCTCCCCCGCCCCGAGCCGCGCCGCAGCCTCCCGCCCTGCAGCTGCCGGGCCCGTGTTGCCCGGGAGGGCCGCCGCTTCTCACGTGCTCGGGGCTGCCTTAACTGCGGGTGGGGCCGGGGAAGGGGCTTGGGACGGGAGTCGCCGCCTCATCTGCGGGCTGCCCGTCTTAAGCTCTTGAGTTCTGACATGAGCGGCCCCCAGGGCTGTGTAGTTTTTTGACTGTACTGCTCAATTTCCCGCAGTTAGTGTGAGACGATCAACTCCGCTTTGATACCAGCCGCTCTGCAACCCGTTTTCCTGGCGGGTTGGATGACGTTTCATTGTTCCAGGGTGCGGTACTGATGGGTCAGGAGTATTTGCCTTGAAAATGTGTGCTCATGTTGAAAACATCCCCCTTAGTCTATTGATTCACCTGGGTTACTCCTGATGACTGTATTGGTTGCCCCAGTGTTTCTCAACCTGTGGGTCACGACTCAAAAGTGAGTTGCAAGAATATGTGAAAGGGCTGTGAACAAACTTGTTAAAAATGGGTTCTCCTTTAAAGGAGGAAAAGTGGGGAGCCATGGGTTTTCTTTGCAGGCTGGCAGAGTTTCAGCCTGCAAGGGGCTGCTTGCGGGCCACCCCCACGCACCGCTTGCCCCACAACCTGGGCAGGTTGGGAGTGAGGGGTGCCGGCAGGGCCAGTGGGCTGTATTACACTCAAACTATTTACTGGCTGGGGACTGGCCATTGATGTTTACAAGGTGGTCCCAGTACAAAAAAGGTTGAGGGACCACTGCATTATGGGATACTCTGATGCTGTGTGTTGTAACTAAATCTTTAAAGGAAGGTGGTTGTTCTAGTATGTACTATAGAAGCTATGTCACATGAAATAGGGAAAAATCGCATTATTACCGCGGTCCATTGGTCTAAAGTTTGAGAACGGCTGCCATGGCTCCACTGGAGTCAGGGGTGTGTGACTCTCGCTTGGATAGACGCAAGAAAGCCATCTTTATATCAGTAGCTTGGTACCAGCAGCTGTGGCACCAAAGAGGTCTGTCCTGTCCTCTGTTGTTGAGGCATCTCCCCAATTTACTGGGCAGGGTCCAGAGAATGTGTTGACCCCGTGCTGCCAATGGTTTAATATCTGAGCTAGTTTAAAGTAGGGATATAAATACTGGTTAATTAAGTGTGTGTTTAAACTCCTGGAATGTTATCAGTTAAACAGGTACCCATAACCGGTATCTCCTGGGGACCTGCCCTGCCTGTGCTCCCATATTTACTGGGTGGCAGCAGCAGGCAAGGGGCTTTTCCAGCTTTTCCAGGGACCTGGTTGGAGCCTATGCCGGCTGTGGTAGGAGGCTGGGAGGCTACAAGTGGTTGCACGGGGGTCTGCAGGGCCCTGATTTGTCTCCTTACCAGTGGCAGGAGTATGCGTGCCTTGGGGTGGATGGCAGAAAGAGCCAGGGGTACTCTCTCCTGCCTGCCCTGCCACCTTTAGGGTCACCCTACGACTTTCTCCACTGGACTGCTCCCCACTCCACACTAAATGCTAACCTGCGAATATGGTTAAATGTTTAACCCAGGGGTCGGCAAACCCAGCACGTGCCAGAACATGACATGCAAGGCCATTTTGCTCTCATGCCACAGCTGGCTTGGACTTTGAGCAGCTACCACCAGACTCCATGGCAGGCAGCAGCTGCCTGCAGTTCAGGCCAGCTGTAGCCAACATCCCAGAGGATACAAACTGTTGCACTAGGCTCCGGCTGGGCTCCATGGTGGCAGCATCTATAGACATGTCCTGGGGCAGATGGCGGGGGTTGCACTATGTCAGGCCCTCTTCGCCTGGGAGCACATAGCTGGAAGGTGCAGGTGCTGCTGCCACAGAACCTGGCTGGAGCTCCCTGTTGCCTGCCACATCCAGCCTATCTCTAGGCAGCTGCAGCAAGTGGCAGGCAGGCAGGCTGCAAACAGGTGCACCAGGGTCCGGAGCCCTGGCACCGGCTCTGTGGTGATGTCAGCTGCACGCGCACCTTCGGGCGCATGGTGGGGGAGGGCCTGGGGCAGCACAATCCTAGCCCTTCCCCTGCAGTCCGTCTGGAGGCATGCATGTGCCCACCACTAGCAATGAGGATAGGGCCCCTTGCAGCTCCCCCGCCATCTGCCTCTGGCATGCCATGTTGGGGCCTGGGTCCAGTTGGGTTGTTTTGGCACTGCAGTCAAAAATGTTGCTAACCCCTGGTTTAACTGTTTACATCCCTGGTTTAAAGCTAGCTTGGATGTGTTTATGTGAGCTGTAGTCGCATGTTGATTGCAGCTAAGACATAATCATAATGGTATTAAATTGAAATGTTGTAAGACCTCTCCAAAACCTGTTATTTTAGTTAATGAAATTATATCTGTGTCTATCTTATCCAGTTTTGAGTTATGGGAAATTCTAACAGGTTCAGTATCTGCATTTCATGTCTCTGGAAGTATATGTTAAAATGGCTGCCAAGCATATGTCAGAACTCTTCTTTTGATAATTATTGCATATGGTTTTAGTGGTCCATTCACACAGCAAATTGTAAATTGCTGTGTCATAATATAGAATGATGCTGCCCTGATTCTTAGAATCTGCTTTCTCTTGCCTGACGGGGGCAATGTGTAGAGGGTGCATGGGAGTGCACATGCATCCCTGAGAGCGCTGGTCCATCCCCTGTCAGGCCATGCTCTCTGTGTAGCAGGGGGGAGGCAGGAACACCAGTGCCCTTTCTGTGAGCATCGGGTAGGGAGTGAGGCTGCCAGCAAAAGCAGCCGCGCCACTTCTGGAAGTGGCCGATGGAGTTCCGGAAGTGGCGTAGCCACTTTTATTGAGAGTGAAATCAGTCCCCGCACTGGACAGCAGGATTGGCTGCTGGGGGACAATCCTCCTCTTCCCCCCCACCCCGCACGCTGACTGGTGTCAGGGGTGGCATGTGGCCCCCTGACTCAAGAGGCACCAGACATCCGTGTAGCCTGATATCCAAATATCTTAGAACCATATTATCAAGTGATATCTCATAATGAGTTCTTATCTTTTCAGGACTATAACAGTTTGGCTCCAGCTATGCAAGCAAGACCAAATTGAATTATAATACAACAATCCAAAAAAACCACAAAAGAAAAACAAAACAAAAAAAATCAAAAACGTTAAAGATGCTTACAGGGGTGTAGGTTGTATCCGTGTTGGTCTAAGGACATAGGCAGACAAGGTTCCTTGGGTGAATTTGATATCTTTTATTAGAGCAACCCAAATGTTGCTTAGGTACTTTTGAAAATGTACATTGTACTTTGACTCCGGAAATGTTCCATAGGGGTCAAGGTTATTTGGTCACGGTCAAGTTAGGATATTAGTGTGGTAATAGTATGATATATAACCATGTTGAAAGGGAATGCAATTCATGCTGGGCTTTACCATGTTAGACCATCATCAGTTCTTAAGATAGTTCCAAGATAGATCTACTGATCTCATGGTAGGTGGGCATTTTCATTTAAAAAAAAAAAAAAAAGTCGTTAACTGAATTGATGTTAGCAAGGTTGCTATCACTTGTGGGTAAAGCTTGTCGGTTAGTATTGAGTCTTGTGGAAATGGTATGTGGTGCAAGTATGGATAAGTTTTAGAAGGTCAAGATATAATATCCAAAGCACCTAAGTCTCATTTTCAAAAGTGGCAGACATTTACAAGCCTAAACTACACTGATTTTTTTCAGTCAAATTTAAGATCCCAAATGCCCAATTTTTCTTTTCTAAAGGAATATAGGAACTTTTAAAAATAATACACATTTTCAGTGTAGGCATCATCAAGGCTTAATAGAGACTCCCAGTGTGTGCATGCTATATTTCAATTTCACATCACCGGTTTTTAGGCTCTGTGTAAAGTAGCATTTTTTTCAAATTTCCTGATGTTGTGTTTAGCACAATTACATTGGTGGCAGTAATGAAGAACATTAGTGCAGACCAGTTATGCCTTTTTTTTCTTTTGCTACTCTGTTGCTTTCATGTCACTATTGCTACTCAATGAGAAATTTAGTAGGGAAAAAAAGCATTGTAGTCACAATCTTATATTTAGCATCTCTTATCCCAGTAGGTTGTGTCTGTTGTTATAGGTGCATGTTTATTTTAAACTAGTGAATTGCCCATCAAGAATGATAGGAAAGGGGGTGTGAGTGGGGACAGAATGCTGCCAGCCATCACTCACTGCTGCCTCGCAGGAGCAGGGGGAGAGGGGAGCTTGCGTGCTGCTGCCGCTGCTCCGCATCCAACTCTGCTCCCCCCTGCCCTCCCTGCTCCATGTCCGGCCCTGCTGCGCAACTGCCTGGCCCACTCCACTGGAGCCATGCCCCACCCATTATTCTTGACAGCACTGGTGCGAGCCATGTCCCCCCAAGAGTGTTACGGACAGACAGACGGACTAAGCCCTTTATATATGTGTATATAAATAAAATGTTTGTCACCTTACAGCAGCTAAACACCTTATTTTCAGAATGAGCATGTGGAATTGTGAATGCCATATTTGCATGTGCATATAAGTGTTCACATTTGATTTTTGCATGTTCATACGTTTTCCTTAATTGTTACCCGAAGATGCATCTAATTTTTGTTCACAAATTAGACAGGTGTTTGCACTTCTGAAAATTGAACCCAAGGGCTTGGGTATATAGTAAACAATATATTTGGAGTAGTTTTAGGACTTGTGTTTTAATAAATGATTTTGGTAAACGGGGAGAAGTATAGAAGAGATGGTTCATTTTACACTTTGATTCTGGGTTTTTGTTTTTTTTTCTTGTAGCATTACTCCCCAAACTAATTTTGTCAGTATATTTGAAAATCTTTCCTTGTAACAGGTTTGGTCATTATGAGACACGATAATGGGCTCTGCAGATGAAGGAGAGAAGTGGATGTGGTATAATTGGATTTTTTTTTTTTCTTTTTCTTTATTTTTTGGCGGGGGAAACATTGGGAAATGGGAAACATTTTTAAAAGCGTTGCTGTTCTTATTGGTAAGCTTGAAAGGTGGTTAGCCGTGTGAGTCTGAAATCAGGCAGAAGATAGGCTAGGGTGGTACCCTAGAGGCTACCCAGTTAGTCTCTAAGGTTATAAGTAGACATCATATTTGTCTTAAGAGTTTTTTTTGTTTTTGGTTTGGGTTGTGTCGTGTCCCCCGCGCCCCCCCCCGGCCTTACAGACAGGTCCGCTCACTGCCCCACTTAAAGTGCCACTGAAGTATCAAGGCATAATGTTCTGTCCGTTTTCCTTGCTATATTGTGGTGTGTTCCTATACAGTAGAGTTGCATATGTTCTGGAGGGAAGGGTTAAGTTCAGAATGACCTTGGTAGATTGGAGAAATGGTCCAAATTAATTAATAAAATTCGGTTAGGTTCAAAGTCCTGCACTTGGGGTGGAACAGTCAAATGCCCAACTACAGACTGGGGAATGACTGGCTAGACTGCAGTACTGCAGAAAAGAACTTGGATGTGTT